TAACAAATTCAGTTTCATCAATATTTAATGTCAGTAAGTTCATGTTTAGCCATTTTTGTATGATGATGAATTCATATTCAGCATTGCGATACAACTTTGGCCACTCATCATGTGTAAAGATAATGGCGGTATCATCTACGTATGATATTATATAAATTAAAGTAAAAAGTAGAACAATTGAATGAAAAATAAAAAATGGTGGGATTCCAAGCCAAGTTACTTCATGACGTTTATATTGTTAGTATCCACAATAGTTTTCGGATCATCACTCGGAGACAATTATTTATTTTTTGTTCAATTGTTCTATTTTTTACTCGTATTTCATTTGACTGGGATTTTATTCCAGTGTTTTTTTGCCTAATATTATTGTTATTTTCCGCTATTGTCTTTAATATTTTATTCCTATTAGTTCTTTTTGGGATTTCAAATCATTTTAGATAATGGAAGCCGCACTAATGAAATTCAATTGGAATATTTACCTGACTGATTGGGTAAGTATTATAATTCCATTCTGAACTGTTCAACAATAGAATTTGTTTTCTAAGACCTCATTGAATTCATATCATAATTCAGATTTTGGTTTGGTAGATTCACTACAAATTCAAAGATTGTCACATTATGTCGTTATGAATTTTCAGAAGTCATATTCAAGTTTTGCTAATCATTTGTCTTTTAAACAACTTGTCAGATCAATAGATTGAAGAATTTGAGTAATTTACTGAATGACCAAATGGAAATGAATAACTCTCCATTACCTAATATATTTTCAAATATGGTAACTGGTACATAAGTCCAGGTAGTTCCATTCATTACAAATACAGGGACATATTAAATGGCCAGAAGAAACTCAGGTAATTCAAATTGTAGAATTAGGTATATATACCATCGAATATGTAGAATATATTTAGTGAAGACACGCCCGAAGAACCCTTTGTATGGCGACACACGTGTTGTGTTTTTATAAAATTGTTTATGAAAAATCTCACAATAGAGAATTTTTTCAAATACGATTGTCAGAAATACGATTGTCCTCGAATATCGAATAATGTGAACAAAGATTCCCAAAGCGCATTTGCAAAGCAACGGATTGATATCGACTGCAGCTTTCACTGTGAAACAACTAGAGGAACTTGAGCTCCAACACTAGACAGCGATGTTTTGACCAGATGTTGAAGCCTGGCTTATCCATTGGATATAATTACTGTAAGAAAAATAAATATCTTGTTTTCATGGCAAAATTCAGGTCAGCTTGTTTACATCTGATGTATTTTTCCATGGTGTCATGTATGCGATGGTTAACAAAACTGAATTTTGACTGATGTAATTTAGGATTTTTCCACTCACAGAGTCGTTCCTAACAACGGAGGAGCACTTAAAGCGTAATGACTTTTTCATAATGGGCATTGAGCTCATAATGGATCATTAAAAAAATATACAGTAGCTTTTCAGCCTCTGAAATTCTTTGCGAAAAACAGTGATCAAAAAGAAATTCAAAAGAAAACGCGACTTTGAAACACGTTCGTTCATTAGCGAAAAAGTTGTTAGATGGAAATTAATTCGTTTTGGTGACAAAGGAAACTATCACTTTCAGAGAATTGAAGTGCATAACGAATTTAAAACATTACATGTTTCACGATGCATGAATTAACTTCTAGTGTTTGTTCAATTCCTCTTCTTACGGATATTCCACTTGTGGAACTTTTTCAGAAGGGTTTAATTAGTGACAAATGTAAAAGTCAGAGGTGCAAGGCATTCATTTCAATTGACGAATATTCATCTTTCTCCCGACAAAGGAGACAAAAGTTAGATAAAGTAATCAGAGAGCGTGATAAATAGCAACATTTCGTTGAAAAAAAATGATTTCAGTTTCTGATGAACACTCGTTTATGTCCTACCTTCGGATTTCGAGAGAACTACCTTCTGATAATACCAGAAATTATAATTTATTTTCAAGCAATCGTTTTCGTCAATCATTTCCTTTCTCATTGATGGACCCAAAAAACCTGAGTGAATTTTCCTATGTCACCATTCCGTGGTGAATACTTGCTCGGGAAGTCACCATACAGAGAATGATGAAAGGTATGTTTCATAAATAACCATTAATATACAGACTATTCAATAAATGTGTGGATTCACAGAAATTTTTGTTTTAAAAGGAACACTTTATATATTTTCACGCGATTTTTCCCTCATAAAAATTATTCTCGAAAATATAAAGTTGTTTTTGTTTATAGCTAGTCACTCAAGAGTTACGAAAAAATTTATGCCACAAGATAAGTTAATTCAATGCCAATATCTCTTACTACATGGAATTGAATTAGATAATTTTTCAAGCGGATATCTTTGATGATAATGAATTCCGATTTTCATTCCACCTTTTCATATAGGTAGGAATAATCAGAATAGTTCACTCATGAGTATCCACAAAATGTAGTGTTTCATGAGTTGTTTTTAACAAAAATGTATCTGGTTATTGAAAAGAATTGTAAAACTCAACAAAGATTTTTTATTATACGCTGCAGTAGAAGATGTTTAAACAATTTTTCACTTCGAGCTTTGCATAAATTCAGTCTATTTACAATGTATTTTCGAATTTCAAGTGATATTCATCTTTTGACGGGAAGCAAAACTTTTTTGATACTTTGTTTTTTACTTTTTCTATTTTATGAAACCTCTCTTTGAGGAAATTCCGATTTGTACTTGTCCTGAATTGAAACAGCGAACATACATTCCGATTATAATCGATATTCAATTATCAAGAAATTAAAAATTACAAAAACTTTTTCATTGACCATGGAAGGAAGGAAATGGAAATCAAGGCTGATATCATTCTGTCGTCGAACTATTCAAACTAGTCACTTCAGTACGAAAGACATCGCAATTGATAAATTTCTGTTGGAACTGCAATTTTACTTAGACCTCATTCATGTAGATCTCTGCTATCTAGAGATTTGTCAGTGAATGATATCATTGTACTTAACATACGACCAAAAAAATAGAATCGACTATTTCGAAGGAAATCAATTTATTTCGAATATATAGGATGTTGCTTGTGAAAAACAGAACTTTGCAATAATAATCTAATAGTGATGGAAGCGGAGATTGTGAACACTCTCAAGTTTCTCTCAATATTTGTCAAGCATTCTGAACTCCATTAATTACCTCTCATCTTCTCCTATCGCAGATATCGTAGATGGAAAACAGGCATAAAATTGATTTGATAGTTCGTAATGGAACCTCTGGTGTGAAATAAATCTATTGAAAATACTTTCCCAACACCAGAACAAAAATTACGATCTTTCGACTCGCGTTTCGCTGACCAACGTGCTAAATATGAACTGTATTTTTTACTGAATGGCATCTCTATTCGAGTATTCTCACTCCGCCACCAACGAATTAGCAAATTTTTCAACAGAAGTGAAAATTTAGAAATTTTATTTAAAAATGTTTGGAAATGCATGTAAGTAAATACTTTAATTTCGTTTGTATGTGACTGAAAATAACTAGATTGATTAATTTTTTAAAGAATATCCAAATGTTATTATCATTGTTCCAGTTTCATGTTATTTTGGTTGATTTTTATTCAAACTGTACACGAAATCCTGAATTTCACGGTACAAAAAATTTTGCTGTCATACGTGATGATGTACGAAATCAAGAATTTCGTAATACAAAAAAGTTTGTTGTCATACGTTATGATGTATAACCCTTGAATTTATTTGCGAACAAAATTTTATGAGCCATCTAGAAGACAGTGCTTTTTTTATTGAATACATTTTTGTCATACTCGATCAAAAATACTGTATGTCGGAATTTGTTTCGCTTACTAAGATAGTATCCTTTCCTACACAAAAATATGAAAAACTTTCGATATGCCTCATTCATCATTCACTGATATTTTTCTCAGGAGTGATACGTATTACCCTTAAATACGAAATTATTTGCTCTGGAGGAATTGTAACGATTTGTGAAATGTAACAGAATGAATAAGGAATAATTTTCTCAGAACTATTTCGCGAACAAACAGTTTGTGTCGGATTTGGTTCATCTCGAAATATCCAGGCAGTAGATCGTTACTTGATTATTGGTCTATACGACTTCATCCAGCGGGCCTTCACTTCTTTTTTTGTATGGCAACCAATTTTAGTCTTTGGCGACAATCTGTGTGAAGTATTGTTAAGTGAGGCTTCATCAATTAAAAATAAATGGAGCGATCATGAACATCCTTATCGAGTCAGAAAATCATCCTATCATCTGTTTTCTGAAACATAAGAAGCCATGTCATGTGAACATATAATAGGCTCTTGAGACATACCTACCATTTTAGATGTGTAACCAAGTGTTCGTCAGGGATTGCAAAGCAAGTCGCATAACCCCTGTTTGTGCTACCAATCACCTGTAATCTTTGTCTATCATTTCACTACAAATTTGTGAAATGCAATGAAAATGCAAATATTATTTTACAATATGAGTGTCTGGAGGTATAATACATACATGTGCAATAAGGTCGTTGCCTTTTTGTTTCAGATCATCTTCAAGTTTATATCTGAAAAAAATATATATGTAGGGCTCCTATGAATGAAATCTAATTCGATTGCATAACAAATATTTCAACTACAAAATGGTAAGAAGAAAGTGTTTTTTGTACAATTCAATGTTGTTATGAAAGTAGCTGTTTGGAAAGTTTTTTGTTTCGTGTAATTCGATGTAAATGTTTATACATGAAAGTAACTGTTATGCATGATCTACACGATATTACAAAGGGTTCATTTTGAAATGATTGCTTTTTTCCTTCTTTACAAAGTTTTCGTATGGAGGTGGAAAAGTGAAAGTCAAAAGGCTTCCTTTCCATAATCAAAATACTTCTGTTATTCGAATGTCCTCCTGCTTGCAGATGTTGAGAATCGAAACTTGTGCTAGGTGAAACTACTCAAGTGCAACTACTAGAAGAACGAGGAATGAATTGAAATATTTCGAAAACTGTTTAAAATGCTTTTCTGATGATATCTGAAGGTACCTACGTAGTAGGTTTTGCTAAAAGCCAGTACCAGGACTATGCTAAAATCGGCCGAGTAGATCAGCTATATACTGGTTTCGTGCTCTCATCAGTGCAGAAAAGATCAGACACAAGCAGCAATGTGCCTGGGTCGGAATTTCAACGCGGCTCGACTACATGTATGAAACCTCCGTCTTAAAGACAGATTGTCTTGTGAATAAAACTCCAAGCAAGAAAAACATCGCATGTATCAATATTTTAACAGAAATCAAAGACTGTATTGAACGATGAAGATGAAGGTTTCATACATGCAGTCATAGAAACAGGTCTGAAGGTAATCTATTCGACTGATTCCAGGTTAGTCCTGCTGCTGGATGAACGAGAAACATCTTCATATCTGACTTCGGTAATGTATCTTGCATACATTTCTGTCGGATATAATCCAATGTCCAGAGTGGTATTACCCGGGAAAGTAGTTGTTTTCCGGCAGGTATCTACCAAACACTACTGTGTAAATTGGGAAAGATGAATGTTTCAAACTTATTTTGATCATTGAGTTTTTTCAATTTCATTTACACTTTATATAATCATCATCTCACGAACTATTCATGATTTAAATATCACATTATGGATGATCTTGTATATGAACAAAGTAGTTTAGATTGTCACTTTGGCAATGTTGTCAAATATTCAATTTGAGTCACGAAATTGAAGCATACAATAAGGGAGGTGATAAAACCTTCACATCAAAACATGTATATTGGCATTTAGAACAGATTCATTATGAATTATTTTGATGATTTTCTGGTTACCAAAAGAGATACGAGTACATAATTGAAAAAAAAAATTTCTTAGATATCTGAATCAGATCAATAGTGTTTTTGCGCATTGTGATGTAAATAAGAATGTGATCCAGTATTAAAACAGAGTTCAAATTGTTGAATTCAATTGATATTCATCAAGTGAAGACGAACAGTTCCGAACAAACTCAATGACCAAACACACCCAATGAATATAAAGTTGTAGAAATACATAACAAATTGAATATATAAGAAAATTGAAACAGAATGAATAGAGCGTGAAACAAGCAAGTAACTTCCCCTTACAATATTTCCTGCCAAAGGAAAAAATATTCCATCTTCAGATCGATAAAAATTGACAATATGGCAAATAGTGTGTTGAAAAAAACTCAGATATCATGATGTCGAAATGATTGGTACATTTTTCTGTAACCCAAAGTGAACTGAAGACTTAAACCTGTTGAATACTGGTCTAATTTGTCGAAAAATGACCCAACAGATAATGGCCTTTCGCATCATAATATAAACGTGAGTGAATATCGAAATGAGTTTCTTGAAAGATAGAGAAAAGATAATCTGTAACGAATTATCCGGAAACTTGGTTGATGAAAGTGAACCTGATGATCTTGAGGACCTCGAAACGAGCCAGCCATACTGAATAAGTCATTTGATATTTTGAGGTGAGATGATCATCATAATCGAATTATGGAAAAACATCTTCATATCACACTCAAAAATATTTTCGGAACTTGTTGAGAGTGTTTGTGATTCTTGGGTAATACGTGATTATTCTGTATCGGATAAGTGTATGCAACATTACCTATATCAGTGATCAACGTTCTGCATCAGGAAAGAATCTCTTGAAACTATAATCGAATAATCTCGTACCGAACAGAATATTTTCAAACTTTTTTTATTAATTTTTTTATTTCAACTTCTGGATGAAAAAACAAATATGATTCAGAGCTTTGGTGTTCTAGAAAAATTCAATTCTGTAGGAAGAGTGAATATCGAATCGAAAATGAATTGAAATGTTGCAACTGGCCATTGTGGATATTCAGAAAAATTCTTCTGCCACTCTGTTAATGATGACTATCCAAATCCAAACACATCATTTCTAGAAATGATTCAGTACAACATATTCTATTTGGTTCCAATATATTTGCGACAAATGAGCAGTAATTTATTGACGATGACTTTGACATCATCAGTAGTCAACAAAACAATGAACTATTCGAGTCAATCTAACTAAATGAAAACTTGTTTTTATTGTTCAAGTGTGTTCTGTGATTTTCATTTAATAAACCAAATTGTGATATGTGAGCTACGAAATGAATAAAACAAATTTTTATTTGGCCTATTAGCACATCAGGAAATCATAGGTTCGACACATCATATACTTCTTCGACTTTGCAATATAAAGTTATCATTCGAAAATTCAATATCATGTGTTTTCATACAAATACTCATGCAACTTACTTTGAATTATCATTCATCGATAACGCATATTATTTTTAGAAATATCTAAAAAATGATCTGGAAACTGTCAATAGATAGCACATTGATTTCTTTGTCACGAATTTCATTTTATATGAACTATTTCAATATTTTAGACTTTGGCCAACATATGCGAGTGCTCACAATAATTTAGGAATTCTATTGAGCGACGCTTCGGAAGCCGAAGGTCATTTTTTAGCTGCCATTCGTTACTCAGAAGAACACGTTAATGCCCATTTCAATTTGGGACAACTTTACAGGTGAGATTGAATATGATCTTATTTTTTTTGAACTGACATTGGTTAAGAAAATTTCCAACTGAAATACATCTTTTTTCCAGGAAAAATAATAAGTCTTCTGAATCGGAAGAAATGTTGATGAAATGTATAAGACTGGATCCTAAATTTACCCCTGCTTATGTGGAACTTACAAAACTCCGGGGACCAGATGATCAGAAAATCAATGAACTACTGAGAAATGCTATAGATGTGAACCCATCAGATCCATATTTTGGTACCAATTTGGGAAAGTGGTTAACTAGATTAGGTAAAATATATTTTCTTATATATAGTCGATGAAAATATTCTAAATCCCAATGATCCAAATGATGATTTTCCATTTGGTTATTTTTCATCATTATTCAAGAATATTTAACATATTTCCGAAAACATTTTCGAAATCGAAATGATTTCAGTATGTATTCTTATCGGTTAGTTGGTTCAACATGAATATCAGTACTGGATAAGAAAAAGATATGTGATCGTATATATGTAAACGTATCAAGGTTACTGAAAACGAAGTCAATATCTGCCCATTAATGGGAAAATTTCAATACCCTTCCCATTGGGTACGATACTGATTTTGGACTCCAGAACTAAAAAATTGCTGATATCCTATGGATTATCTGTATTACCATTCACGTTGTGCATTCTCCAAAGGTCGATGTTTCGCCAACATCTCAGATGGTATCATCTGGTATCGCTTGTTCTGTATGAGACGTGATTTACGTCATAGGATGAACACCCGGGTGTCCCTTATATGTGTGTATTTTTTTTTGGAATATCGAAATGCACAAACTTTATTTGTTTTCACCTAGACCTAGTTGGATACACAATTTCATCTACCTACGACAACATTTTTCCCTGCCGATAAGGCTTTGTATATTCAAAAAGTTCTGTTTCATACACGTTTTATAGCGAAATAATTGCAGAAAGAAAGAAAGAAAGAAAGAAAATGAATATACATATCATGCAGGTTATTTTTGAGGGTATCTTTCTGACAATCTGAATGGGGATTTCTATTTTCTTGTACACAGCATAGCATGTTATCGAACTAGCTCTTTTAGCAACTATCTCAAAAGAAAAACTTTTTTAGCCTCCATGAAGGCAATGTCTTTTTCCCACGTAGAAACGGCTCTCTGGAGAAAGTTCTCATAAATTTTCAATTGAGAAAATGAATTTGTGCTCCCTACAAACAATAAATCACTCAATAATTCTCCTGAAACAATGAATGAGGTAATTTTAAATTCAGTATAAAGAAAATAATGTGAGCAATGGTAGAAGGCTATGAGTTCCTACTCAAGTACTTACCATACAAATAATCAGACAGTTCAACTTTCGAAGGAATGTATCTTTTTCCAGAATCGCTAGTATGTTATCCTCAGTTTGTTCATCAACTTCGGCATCAAAGTACAAAGTACTGACAAGTACCGAAGATGAGGACTGAACTTGCTCAGGGCTGCTTTGGCAATCACTTTATCAACAGTTTCATGTTTCTGAAGCCTCTTCAAGAAGTATATATCATGATTTGGTGCCTTCAATGCCAGACTACAAACAAGCCATGTTTTCATATATGTGACCGCAATGAATAAAAAACATCTTGAAGTGCCCGTTCATTTTTGGCGCTAGTTTTGAACTGGGATTCCAACAAACACATTTTTATTGAACGAATAGCTCTAGCCATCCACTTCGACTGATCCATCGCTCCAGGAGTTTTAATTTTTTTCTTATAATCTCCTCCTAAGAAAATACTAGATGATTCAATCAGTTCCCGGTAATCGTCACGTACGATGATATTTTGAAATTCTTCATTATAAAATGTCGACAAATATTTCTTTACTTCATTAGAGGAATATTGTGCGACCATTATCAGTACATGTGTCAATAGCAGCAGAATCATTGATATCAGGCCTTTTTCTGACATGAGAGATTTTTGTTTCGAACACATATTTCAAAATCAGTTCATAAACGTGATGGCGGCAAGTGAAAAGTACTAATTTCCTGTCTATTTTTTGTTTCTAAAGTATACGGACTCCTACCAAATCACCCTGTATTAGACGCACATTATTTGTACTTTGTCATCGAGGTTCCAATCATAAAGTGCGTCTAACACAGCTTCAGCTTGATCTTGCCCGGAAGATCTCTCCAGTTTGGGACAACTAGGTATTGTTTCTTTTCTCCGAATGGAATGAGAACTTCTCACGTCCAATTCAGGTGATAATTTTTCATCTCAGTGGAATGCCATCATGTCAGACAAATGATTCTGGAACTTTGATTTCACAGTTTCCTCTCTAATCTGTGGGCAAGCGCGTTGTATGGACGATATATTTATCACAAAATCATTACAGCTGAGGTCTATTGATTCTACTATAGCCTGTAGTAAATAAACAGAATTCTTCATGCTTGAGTGGCTTCTACTTGAAACTGCAACTAATTCAGACGTAATAAGATCTCTCTTTCATCTTTTTATAATAATTCCAACACTCACCATTCTAAAGGTGGATGGGAAAATTTTCTCGAGGCTTTCATCAGAGCTTGTAGGTTGAACGTTACCTTTCTACGTTTGTATGAAATCTTGAGTAAAAGACGACGACAATCTCCCGAAATATAATTGCTCATGTATTTTTCCCCTTCTATTGATTCTGTCTGTCTTGCCCTTTCTTCTTTCTCGAATAATTTCTTGTCTACACCCGCCAAACACCCTGGATGTCCTGATTCTCTTTATTTCTGTAAAAACAACTGATATTCTATTTTTATCCATTCAAAAGCATCAGCTATGTCGTGTGTGTGCTATGTCAAATAAAATTTATAAAATGTTTGGAAATTCCTTCTCACATCTTGAATTTCTTTTCAATTATTTTGCAACTCTCTTTAAGCATGGTGAAGATCCAAAATTTTTTTAACATAGGTCTGGCAAGGATTCTAGCTTTTTTCCAAAATACAATGCACTTTCGAATGATAAGATTAGCGCTTTCACTAACAGTCAATTGAACTTCGCGAATGTAAAAAAATACTGCAAGAACTTGTGGCTTAGATGGTAACTTTGCACCTGTTATTCAGTAATTTACGTCAACTAAGAAAATACTTTTTTATTGCTCCCGAATTTCAATGATATTTTCTAAATGTATAACAATATGACTCAATAACGAGCTTAACTAAGAACAAATGACAAATACCGCGAGTATTTGAGAGGTAATGCTTCTTTCAACAGTAATTTTCGAGAAACTACTCTGATATTGAAAAATTTTGAAATTTGCAGGAAGCTACCACAAAGCACTTCACTACTTCTGGGAAACATTGAAAATGAGTCCTTCCCATCAAGAAGCTGTAGCTGGAGCAGCAAAACTTCTCCGTAAGTTTGGTCAAAAATCAAGACTGTTTCAGTTACAAACACGGTAAGTTCTATCGCGATGCAAATAAATTCGATTTAGTCTTATCTGGTATGATAATAATAATAGTATGTTCATCAAATAAAGAATTCACAATATGCGACAAAACAGCACATAAATACAATAAAATAAATATATGTACTCACGAAAGCAAGCGATTACATGTACGTGTACTTGAAAAACACAGTAGGAATATATTAAGTATCAAAATGAAGCACTCACATGAGACATACAAGTTTTGTATTATATGTTGAGCTATGCTGATTTTTTCACAGTCGAGAAATTGGTCATTATAAGTCAGTCATATTGAATTTTCCACAATCGGGAAATGAGTCATTATAGACAAATCAGTTTTACTATCAAAATACCCATGTCAAAACAGAGAAAAACAGAAAAACCAGAGAACTTGGTTTTTCATTTACAAAAATTCGAATCGTGAAAACAAATATTGATGGTGATCAAGTTATCTTATTCCATTATTGCAACTTCCAAGTTAAGATTATGTCAACTAAATCACTCTTTTTTAGCTTATTTAATTCTGAGTTCAGGAGCGACACATCGAACACCGTCGCCATGTTGGAAGAGTTTTTGAATCCAATTTGATTTTTCAAGCTATCTCACTTATTAAAATAACAATATTTACACAGTAATATCTGAATAATCATGAATCAATATATTATATTTGAAAATATTCAAAAGATGACTTTGAATGATTACAGTTGAGACATCATCAATTTGGGCATCTGATATAAGTCGATAAATTAATAAAAATTAAATGATGTAGTTACTGCTCTGAACAACTCTAACTTTTATATGAATTACTTTTATTTTTAAATTCCACTAAAAATTACCCCATGTATGATTTTCGGCCAATTTCACATAAGTTGTCAGCACTATTAATTATTGAACAAAAACATATTTTATATATAATTTTTCAACTCCTATATCTGTCATTTTGAAGACTGGTAAATGAATTGAAACCATAGAAACTTTTCAATAAATAACATGTAAACAATGTAAACTGCCAAATGATAGTGATTTGTCATCAATTTTTGTAAACTATCATCCAAATGAGAGCTGTCACTGACTGTAGAATAAATAAACCATGCTATATAAAAGTATTTGTTTTATCCCATATTTTATTGATAACATGTGTGTTCTATCTACCAACTGTAGACAATTTTCAGTTAAATGTTTGTAGAGTTGGGCAGTTCTTTCTTTCAATTGGCATATTTGTTAAAGTCATTCAATCACCTAAAAATAAATTATCCAGTGAAAAGAATTATATTATCTTATTCTGTTTATATGGAAATTTTAGGTGGTGCAGGGGCGGCGGCATCTGGTTCAGCAGCTGCGCAGGCCGGCCAACCGGACAATGCTATTGAACATTCTGNTGTTAGTCGAAGGAAACAAACAATGAAATTTTCAATTCAATATATGACCTGGTGAGATATAGAACCTGAGAACTTGAAACTACGACAACATCAGGAAGCAATATTTTCACTATGGATCCGAATACTACGAGTGATGAAATGATACGTCGAACTCAACAAAATGCAAAAAAAAATCGACAAGTATGCCACAGATGTTTGTGTCATATGAATTTCTCTATAAAAAGCACAAATTCACAAGTTTTTCGTGAGAAACCCAGAAAACTGAGAAAATTGTGAAAACAGTAATGAATACAAATTACTATTCCACTACAGCATGATAAAAATTCCTACATCATTTTGATCTACTACGATTGATCGAGAGAAAACCCTTGTTCCATGATCACTTTTCAGATAGTTGTAATGATTTTGTTCATTGGAGTCCATGAAACAAACTTTCGGCTATCCGATTTCTAATTATATGCTGAATAAGAATTTACGAAAAATAAAAATTATATGGACGAACAATAAATAGGAGTACTGCTTTAACACTTCAATAGAACATTTTATATCCTCTGGACTTGAGAACCATGCGACAAACACTTTCAACAATATGTATGGTATGTACTGACGTGCCTGATGCCAAACGGAAGAATCTGAATGCAATGATGAAAATAATTGAGTTGAACTGTTGAATCCGTATATGTGGGGTATTTCTTTAACAAACTCGATTGAGAGCTCTTTTCACAAATTGATCTGGATATGCGTTTTGCTCCAAAATCGGTTTGATAATAATTATTTTCTCTTTCAGATTATTGACTGATTGACAAACTGCCTTAGCCTTATCATACAAACATCTAACTAAGTATACCTTTTTTGTAGTTTGCGTGATGACTAGATTTTTGTGGATATATCTACTACTTAGTATGAGTATTCTTTCGATAAACACTCATATCAAGAGAATTCATTCATCGATTTCTTGATCATAACTCTGAGAGGGGGAATTTGATTTGAACTTTCCTTTCTAACATAAATTTCATTGTGAGTTCTCTTGAATCCAAATAATCGAAGATAACGATAATATCATCTGAAGAATGGTCATAGATATTGAATATACCATCAATATATCTTCACCATAATTTTGGGCCATTCTGGTGAGGTTTGATGTATGTTTCCTCAAAATGCTCGATGGAAATGTTACACAGAAACAATAATATCATTTTCTAATTTAGTTTCTACAATTCTTAGGGTTTTATCAACCAGTACATAGGTGAACAAACTCAGAATTTTGAAACTCACCAGAAGATCTCTGTTTCGAATTTGTAATTCATTTAGTTTCTCGATGGAATCAGAAATATTCATTATGAAAATTTTGACTATCAAGAATGTTGAAATATTTATCAATTCCTGATATCAATAATCCAAAATAATTTTTTACTGTATGGTATTGAATTTTAAAATGATACATTTACTAAATGATTTCAGATGGCAGACCATAAGGAGAGGTAGAATAGGAGAACTTCCGCAGACTACACATATATTATATTTGCATGAATGGCACCTCAAGATTGAATTGAGGACCAGGGCGAAACTTTATGATAACAAATTTCTTCTTGTAAGTATGGAAGTGGTAATTATGGTCGAATGTGTTATAAAAGTAGATGAACAATAGCATGGGGGGGATTGTGAACTGATTCTGATCTGATGAACAGAGAATGGTAGTAGGAGATACTTTCTGTCAGATGAACATTCACTGTTGGTGAATATATTCTAATTCTACTATTCTCATTCTTTGTTATATATTTTTGTTATTCAGTGGAGAGCTGATCAATGGTCAGTCTGCAACTATCTCCATCAGGTAGGTAAGAAACACAGATGTGTAATTTGGAATGGGGGTACTTTGTGACACATTTCTTGAATATACTTCTCATGGCTACAGGGTATACTTACTGTACTCACCAGTCTGGGCCGAATATTCAGCTGCAGAATGGTAGGTATACTGGCGATATTTCAATTGAATGGTCGATATTGAGGTTGTCCAATATTCAATGTGAAAGATTTTCACCTCAATAATCGCAGCAACCTTCCCACATGGAGGCGTCTGTAAGTCATTCATCACTGTCCATACATCAGATCAAGCAATGCGGAGCCTTTCCATGATTGAGGTGAATCATTTGACCTGCTCAAGAGGAGTTTGTTTTCTCTCAGGCAGGCACTCAAACATTTGGAGCAAGGCATATTCACAACATATTCTGCTGTAGAACAGGCTGGCTGCACCACCAGATCTGAGTTTATCAACCGGATCAACGGTTGAAGAACTAAGAAACTTTCGCGCCTAAACCGATGTGACATGTAGGACAGGGTTGTTTAGTTAAGATTCATCTCCTCCATTGATTACGGGTCGGATGCGTTGGTTAATTTATTATCCATAAAGGGTACTTTGGATAACTACAGAAAGCCGGTTCATAACGACAGGGCATTGCATTACCGTAACTAGGTTTTCCACGACGAGAGGACGCCTGGTATCTCTAAAATTCGTAAGTGATACTGAGTGGTATTGAAGTCATTCATCACTGTGGTATGGATATACACAACTCAGAATGATGCGTCATTCAGGAGGATTCTTCCTTCCACGAGTGACCGGGTTATTATAACTTCACGTTTATTATTACATACAGGGATGATCTGCAATATCTTAACATAATCTACTTGATATGAATCAGTGGTCTGGATAACTGTACTTAATGTTCGTGTTTTTTTGTGACAAATAGGAAGCCACTACTGTTTCACCTATGATAATCATCTATACCATTGCAGTTCATCCATGTCTGTTGAAAAATGTTTGACAATATTTCGTCGTGAATATATTTGCACCTCAATTGTCTGAAGACTTATTCAGAAATTTGAAGTTCATGCAAAACAAAAAATAATGGAATGTTCATTTCAATTATTTTCAGTATTTCCAATAATTTCAACATTTCTTTAATTTTTGTTTCCTTCAGATTTAGAATCTTCCGATAACTTTTCAAATAGTGGAAACACAAACTTGGAACGTCTACTTTAGCTGCTTATCTCATAAATACAATTGAATGTGAGTAAATTTTGTCAAATGCTTCATCAATATTTAATAAGAAACAAGACCTTTCTCTGTGACGGAAAAAAAACCTACGAGTCAGTGGTCAGACTTAGGTGGATATTTGTCATTTCCAATGGTAGTTATTATGTGTAAAAGATTCGAAGTTATATGTCGTATTGACAAAGCTGGCTCTTGAATAATGAAAAAAAACATTATTCTCATGATTCAAAATCACATTGGCGATTTCATAGTCACATGTAAGTATGTTACTTACAATTTCATATTTTTCTGTATTCAACAGAGCAGTATAATTTGTTTTTCTGTTTTTTTTCCTCTAGCGTGACCATATATTGGTACTGTTTTTCCGCTCATTTAAAACAAGTATTAATGATAATTATATTCAACAGAAATCAAAATTAATTTTTTCATTATATTCAACAATCATCATCGCAGTGATATACTAATCATGAGCTGGATATTTACCGGAAAGTTCCTCAGTATCCTCTGAATATATTTCTGTGATGAATCACTTTCATGAGTAAATTTTTCTTAAGTACAATGACCTGTAATCAATGACACCATGCATGATAATCATTTTCACATCGTGATCTATATATTACCGCATTCCATACATGGAAAAACAAAAAGCATATTTGATTATAATAATCCAATACAATCACCCTCATTTTCCACTCGAATGTTAATATACCATTTTGATGATTTCAATGATGATCAAGTGGATTAGACACATGAGATTTTTACGGAATTCTTTTTTTTTAAGTAAAGGAGCTAGGACAGTTCCATATCAAAACCCCATGTATTTTCTTATGGAGGTTCATTCTGGCAATTTTGGATCCTGCGACCAATCAGAGCGCTCCGAATTGTCATGTGACCCAGACGCATCGTCGCGTCTGGATCCTGCGACCAATCAGAGCGCTCCAAATTGTCACGTGACCCAGACGCATCGCCGCGAGTACACCACACTGGCGCCACCTATACCCTTGTTCCATGATCACTTTTCAGATAGTTGTAATGATTTTGTTCATTGGAGTCCATGAAACAAACTTTCGGCTATCCGATTTCTAATTATATGCTGAATAAGAATTTACGAAAAATAAAAATTATATGGACGAACAATAAATAGGAGTACTGCTTTAACACTTCAATAGAACATTTTATATCCTCTGGACTTGAGAACCATGCGACAAACACTTTCAACAATATGTATGGTATGTACTGACGTGCCTGATGCCAAACGGAAGAATCTGAATGCAATGATGAAAATAATTGAGTTGAACAGTCTCAAGACAGTTCAATATAAAATGGTGCAGTCCAATGTAAACACCTTTATTACCCTATCGTCCATAAAACATTCGCCAAAAACTCCAAAAGAAGCTGTGAGTTTGAAAAATATTTTGGACCAGAAAGTAATGAATACTTTACTTTCTACTTTCCAAGTTTCACCGTCGTGGAAAAAGTATGACGTGTTAGGAATCACACATTAAAAGGTAAGACCTCGACAATTCTTAGCTTGACTTCTAAGGGTTGTCGTTCGTAGGAGTGCGACAGCTGGTTAACGGAAAAACAGATTTTTTTTAAAGATATTATAGTCAGAGAGCACACTAACAATTTTCATTCTTAACTTCAATACGTCTCTTTGGATGATACGATTGTCAATGCCGATTTGGAACCAATTGATAAAAATAATTATGGGCCAGTATGAAACCTTTGAGCTTCGTTCCAGATATAAAAGAAAATTTGTGATGGTTTGAAATAAAGCCTCAAATTTATATTGAAAATATTCTCTACAATTACTTTGTCTACCTGACAAAGTAATTGTAGTTCAAATACAGATATCAACCCAATTATATGGGTAGACGTACTTGAACGAAGAATAAAACGATGATAAAGAATCCCATTTTCATTTCACACATATTAATGCTGATACACCTAAAACTGAGGAGGATATAATCAATGCCCACTACTGGCTCAATTATTCATTGAAAAAAAAATCATTTATGTCTCAACACTGGAAACACACGATATTTTCGAATTTTAGGAAATTGAATCATATATTTGCGAGACTAGATGAGAGAACAATCTTCTCGCAATGATTGTTGTATGAATAATTTATATGTAAGGTCCATAACATCTTTCCTCACGGAGATGCCATCTATGGGTTCGACAGATAACTCAATTTTCGCAAGGCAACTAGTGGAAAACCAGAGTCCAAACATAACGCATTTGTGATTCAACATCAAACAGCGCTGTCTCTACCCACCGTAGATCTCATCAGTGCTGCTAGACTAAACTGCAAATGCGCTCATGTTCATACACTGTTGAAATCTGGGTACGCTTTTGTTTCAGAAATTGTTGTATACCAAGTGGGATGGTTCTGATGATGCTGCAAGATGTTGCCAATAGATCCTTGATGGATGATGTTGCTAATACTATTATTCTCCTCAGAAATAAATAAGTAATGTTATGGCAAATGAATCACGGAAGTTGATGTTCATAGGCATATTAGGATTGAGTAAAATTTGAGAAATTATCTTCACTGGGGATGAATCAGTTCTGTTGTTCGCTATTTGTAATGCTTTGTAAAATGAGGCTATATTTTTTTATGTCATTGTTTCACAAGTGATGATGAAAGTATAATGCTGTATGAGGTAACGTTTCGTTTCTCAAGAAATGATACGTTATTTCTATCTCACTTTTGGCAGATCTATATTCGCCAATCTATATATGATATTGTCATGTGCGTTTCGTTCTCACTAATGTTGGGTATTTCAGATCGAGTCATTCACGCTAAAAGCCAATCAGTTGCATATTTTGATAGAGCTGACAAAGCGAATAACTTTAGACAAGACGGACCAAAAATAATATTCCACATCAGTGTGACCACAATACACATCTACCTCCCAATTAACGTCATCTTGTTGAAGAATACGCAACAGTGAACCTTCACACGAACAGCGACATCAACGGTATCTAGCGTTCTTTAGAAAAAACGGGGCACGTGAATGAAATCGAGTGAACCAAATTGGTCAACAGATTTGCATAAAAATTGTGCACGACTGAGTCAATACACCAATGTACAGGCATCTTATTTATTACTAAAATGTGATTCATTTCATCAAATGCTCTGGAATAATATAATGATAATGATTTTTTCATGTTTGTTGACAGTGGTCTATAGGTGTTCACCTACGTTTGGTCTATGACTGAGCTAGACATTATTGAGTGATGAGGTAATAGGGGAGCTTGAGATGCTAAATTTGCAGTCGATAAAACATCATGGGGACCTATTCGATTGTGAAGATGAGGTCTTAAAACGGAAAAAAGCTTATATTGAGTTTGACATTTTGGTTGGCAGAAGCAGACATTCATAATGTATACGCACTATGTCTTTCTGATAACCAAGATATGATAATCTGATGAGTAAATAGGGGGGCTGTAGAAAGGTGTAGACAAAAATGCATTCGAGCATGTCAGATATTCAGAGAAAATGTTGAGTGAACTCAAAAAAGTGTCTTGTC